TTATCTTATCAATAGAAATTATTAAACCTTCAGGTTTTACTGAAAACATAACATTTTTACTTCTTAATGTTTTAGTATAAATATCAAAGACTTTAATGATGTATACAGTGTCATTATGCCTAATAATTTCCTTAATATTATTTGATAACTAGTCCTTAATATTATCGCATAACAATATTATCTGCCAGATGCTTAAAGTGTTTTTTTATAGTTAATGTGGTTAAATCAGTGTTCAAGTAGGATATGTACATTACATTCTTTTGGTCTTGCTTCAGTCTTCTTAGTCTTTTTTAATAGACCCTTTCGGTCTTTTAAATGACATTTATTTATTATAATTATTATTTTTTCAGACAGAGTCTTGCTATGCACTTCAGGCTGCCTTGAACTTACTATGTAGCCCAAGGTGGCTTTGAGCTCTCAGACAGTTGTCCTGCCTAAACCTCTCCAGTGCAGGGACTTCAGCCATGCCTGGCAACACTTATTTATTGACAAAGTATTTCATTTGTCCTGTATAATTTCTCATATGCTGAATTTGGTTAATTGTTCCTTGTGATGTTTAACTAGTTGCTTTAAAAACATTTTTTAAAAAAGAATACTTCCCAACTGGGTATGGCAGTGTGTGTAATCCTAGCACTTCGGGAGACTGAAGCCAGGGGTTTCTAAGATTGAGTCCCACTTGGGTAACTTATGACGATCCTGATTCAAAATAAAATATAGTAACATAATGTAAAATAAAATAGCTAGGATGTAGCTCAGTGTCAAGACTTTGGGTTCAAGCCATGGTATTGCAAAGAAGTGAGGGAGGAAGAACACTTTCTAGACGGTTCTTTTTGTTTCATCACATCAGAAGGTCCATGATGTCTGATCATTCACTTTAGTGATCAGAATAAATGATCTCTGAATTTTTTCTGTTGTAGTACAGCGCACAAATCTTAAGTGTATGTACAGCTTGATGAATATTTCATGGGTGTTTGCCTGAAGGGACCACTCAGATCAAGATACAAAACAGTTTTACTACCTTGGAGGGCTCCCTCTTCCCCTTTTTGTAGTCAGCTCCCTTGCCCAGAGGTAAATGATATTTTGGCTTTATCACCTAGAATGCTTCTGTAGAATAGGAAATTTGCATTCTGTCCTTCATTTTAACATTGTCTATTTCTAATGAGAATGGATGATGGTGATGATTAGTACTGTTGGCAGTACTGGAGATTGAACTCAGGGCCTTTGCACTGAGCTACATCCCCAGCCCTTTTTTCATTTTATGTTTTGAGATAGGGAGTCACTAAGTGGCCCAGGCCAGGCTTGAATTTGTAGTATTCCTTTTTCCCAGAGTGCTGGGATTACAGGTGTGTGTCGTCACTCCTGGCTCGATGCTCTTTACCTTTTACTACAGGTAGGAACACTATCTTGTATAACCACAGTAATGGTTATATAAATCCGGAAATTAATACGGATACAGTAGCCAATCTGCAGACCTTATTTATATCTCCTCAGTTCTTATAGTATACCTTATAGCAAAAGATTGCAGGTCATAATTGCAGGTCATTTGTTACATTTTTTTTTTTCTTTTTTTTTAAAGTTTTCTTTAAAGAAAGACTGGGGAGTAGTTCATGATTCTTGGCTTCTAGGCCTTGAAGATTTATGAATACAAGTTAGTTATTTTATATAGTATTCCTCAATTTTGGTTTATTTCATGTTTCCTCATAATTCAGTATAGGTTATGTGTTTCTAATGGAATACCGTGGAAGTTGATGTATCTTATCAGAGATATGTGATCTCAGTGTCCCCCCACCTTTTTTTTTTTTTGAGACAGGGTCTTACTATGTAGTTCTGGCTAGCTTTGAACTCACTATGTAGTCCAGGCTAGCCTTGAAATGAAGGACAGAATGCAAATTTCCTATTCTACAGAAGCATTCTAGGTGATAAAGCCAAAATATTATTTACCTCTGGGCAAGGGAGCTGACGGCAAAAAGGGGAAGAGGGAGCCCTCCAAGGTAGTAAAACTGTTTTGTATCTTGATCTGAGTGGTCATAGCCTGGACTAGATCATAGTGATCCTCCTGCCTCAGCCTCCTGAGTGCTGGGATTACAGGTGTGCTCCATCATGCTCAGCTTTCAGTGTGTCCCATTTTTGATGATGGCTTTGAACATTTGGTTAAGGTAGTGTCAACCAGTGTTTTTCATTGAAAAACTTTTTTATGAACTCTATTATTTTTCTCCTTCTGTTATTTGTAAGTATCTTGAGTAAGCACTTTATGTAAATATCCTGTTGTTCACCAAATATTAATGTGCTCATTTTAGTTACATTTACAATTTTTGCCAAAGACTATTTTAAAATTCATCATTTCTTCTATAGTAATATTTGGGAAGTTTCCCTTTATTCTCCATTTATACATGCACAGAGTATGTGCTTACTACTATGAACTCATTGATGTATTTTTATCAGCCAAATCTGCCAGTACATGTGTTTCTTGCTACTAGATTTAAACATTTTAAATAATGAAAACACAAGGCATTTAAGATCAGCCTCTGCGATAGCATTAGTTCCAGTCTCATATTTTGAAAAAGTATTGAAAAGTAAGTTTATGAAGCAGATAAGCTGGGTGTGGTGGCACATGCCTGTAATCCCAGCAGTCGGGAGGCTGAGGCAGGAGGATCTTTGGGAGTTGGAGACCAGCCTGGGCTATAAAGTGAGCTCAAGGCCAGCCTGAACTGCATAGTGAGACCCTGTCTCAAAAAGACAAAAAAAAAAAAAAAAAAAAAAAAAAAAAAAAAAAAAAAAAAGATAAAGTAGGGAACATTTAATTTCTTGATCTAGTCCAAAACATAAATAATAGGATTGTAAGATTTTTATTATTTTATGGATACACCTTATGAGATTGTCATCTTTTTTGTTTCAGAAGATTGGAGCTACCTTAAATAGCTCTCACTAGTGATATATATAATTAAATACATCCATATAAGATTATACTTTCCAGCCATAAAAAAGAATGAATAAGCTAAGTGTTTTTTTTTGTTGTTGTTGTTTTTTGAGGCAAAGTCTAGTTCTGGCTGGCCTTAAATTCTCTATGTAGCCCAGGCTGACCTCGAACTCGGGGCAGTCCTCCTGCTCAGCCTCCTAGGTGTTGGAATTACAGGTGTGCACCATGCCTGGCTTAAGTGTTGTTATAAATGGTCCTTAAGAAAGTATTAAATGAGAAAAGGAAAAATGTATTTGCTTGTATATTCATAGAGTAAGCATTTTTTGAGGAAATCACGAGAAACAGCTAACATTGGTTGCCTTTAGGAAGTGAAGTGGCTGTTTGGGGATGGAAATAGGATGAGGACAGTTCACTTTCATAGTTTTTTAAACAATTGCCGGGGTTAAAAAAAAAATTGCTGGGTTAATCAAACCATTAAAGAGAATAAAAAATAAAAAATAATTATAAATGATACAAAGTTGCACCAAGCAAGATGATGGGAATTCAACAGTGGTTGTTATGTTGCTTATTATTGTCTTCAAATTAGTTGTTCAGATTACCAGATACAAGCATTCAAAATTGGTTAAAAAATAAATAAATAAACCATTAACTGTTCCTTTCAATAAACCATTAGACATCAGCAGTACAGTTATCCCAGCCATCCTTCTGTGTGTGTATGTGTGTGTGTGTGTGTATTTATATGTATATATCCTCCCTTCTTTCTTCTTTCCTTCCTTCCTTCCTCCTTCCCTCCCTCCTTTCCTCTCTCCTTCCCTCCCTCCCTCCTTTTC